GATGATTAATCAACTGAACAAGATGCTTGATTGCACCGCGTTCTTTAAACGAGACGCGCATATGTTCGCTGATCGAAGCATCAGAAATCGACTCAGCAGCTCTTGCAATAGCCGACTCATCTTCAAGTCCGAGAATCAAAACCAAACGAGCAACGGCATCCACCCACGGCAAAAGCGTGGTCAACCTTTGGACAGAGGACGATTCGCTGTCCGATTTAGGACCATCTTCGATTTCAATAGCTCCTATACGTGCAAGAAACTGCTGCTGCGTTCGCCCAATTACGGCATTCTTCTTTGCCTCCTCTAAGTCGACATCTTTGGTGTCGATGTTTAATCCGAGCAGAAGTTCTGAAGCACCGTATCTTGAAGGAATTTTCGAGCTCTGTTCGATCTTTGTACCGTCGGGCAAAGATGGCCATGAATATAAAGCTGGTCTGAAAGATTTGTAGGCTGCAGCACCGATTAACGGAACCAGAACTAAACCTTCCTCCATGATAAGTATTTTATTATACTCGTCTTTCGCGAGTTCCAATAATGCATTCCGTGCTACCTTCCTTACGACTTTAGATTCTTCCACGTCAGCCGTCAAAATCTTCGCCTGCATTTGAAGTTCTGAATAGTGAATACTACTACTCCGACGAAGATTTAATTAAAACAACTCCCTTAATATATTACGGTAATAAATCATCAATTAACAGAAAGATTCATTTTTTATCATTCTTAATCAAGAAAAGCTAAGAGACGAAGCCTCACCAATTTCGGAATAACTCCAAGCTCAACGATTAAATTATGATTCGACTTAGTCAATGTTAAATTAGCCAAAACTCCAGCAGCGGGTTCCTTGACTCTCATATCTTCATCCTCCAAGTACGAGATAAGTAACGGAAGTATCTCGGAGTTTGTAATTCTTGCACTAAGCTTCTCGTCTACAGACAAATTCCACAGAGTACATATCGTCTGCTCCTTCACCTGCAAAAAAAAAAAAATCCATTAAACTTTCAATAAACCATTAATTCCAAGAAAATGAAAAGAAAAAAAAATGAAGTATGTAAATTTGTTTCTGTATACATCAGACGACAAGGCGGAACGTGTCAACAAGGCAGTCATTTCTTCTACTGCGCCGCTCTCAGCTACAAAGTCTCTAAACAGATTAATAGACGATATCGCCCTCAGAAGACCTGAAGCTGCTTCACATGCGGAATCCGAATCCGATTTTAGAAGGTTCACGATTAGATTGACTGTTCCATGGTATTTCATAATGTTATCAATGCATTGCTTTCCACCGAGCGAGTACTTCCATAGAGCAACAACAGCTTGCTCTCTGTCTTGAGGATCTTTGTCTAAACCGAGCATGCGAATAAACAAAGATACATAACCATCATTTGACGAGCTCGATGAGATGTCCTTCAGTGTCTCGACATCCTGAAATTTAAATTTGGCGGAATAAATTAGGAATTAGGACATGGCTTGATCGACAATGTAATCAAGATTCGTGAAATGTTCAAGGTTTCGGTTTAAAGCCCGTTAAAAAAAATCAGGATGGGTTTTTAACCAAGCATATGAAGAATATTTAGTCCAAAACCACTCGACCCTTATTGTTGCACAATCTTACGATGAAGGATATTACCCGAAACAGGGAATTTATAATCGCGAATCTCAAACATAAGATAATCGCATATTATATTATCATATTACGGGCGGTGTAATTGTAATCAATTCAATCAATCTTATCAATCCCTATCAAATATCAATATTCCCATACGAGGCCCGAAGCTAATCATTTTCATTCGCAAAAACATTACAGAAACTTGACACTTAACAACAATGCACCGAGGCGATTAAAGAAGTTCATAATTCAAAACTTCAAAGTTAGATACGCATTCAACATGGCATAGTGATATGCACATACTGATATCCAAATACACACAATGTCACTAAAAAAACCAAAATGAGAAAAAAAACCACCAATTTAATTATGAGTAAATGGAGTGCTTACAGAAGCTGAAGATACTTTTTTGGCAGAAAAGATTTCAGCTTGACCACCGCCATCACCGGAGGCCCTTGTTGTCAGCAAAGAAAACTTGCAGCGGCATAGCATGGGATTCCCAGCTCGAGGACGAATGCTCTCGGCGCTGGGCATTTGGGATATGATGATTATTATTATTATGCAGCGGGGGTTTAAGAAAATGATTTGGGGGTTTGAATTTCAAATGGGTAGTTGGGATTGTCGAAGACATTTTTGAGATTCTTTACGCTGAATCATATTGATTAAGGGCTACCAGAAATCAAGGGTTCTTGGATTGGAAGTCCATGCCGCACACATTTTCTCTGCTTTCTGATAAATTGTTT